TTTTGAATACAATACGACAAAAGCATCGAAAAAATAAAAATTATAAAGAATAACAAATAAAAATTGAAGAAAACATACCTTGTTCAAGGATGATCTTCCACCCAATTCTTTGTAAAAAGCAATTGTTTTTTGTATTAAATCAAGCTCCTTTTGAGTGTTTTCAATTTCTAGACTCAATTTTTCTGTAACGGCAATGCTCCCGTACACAGGATTTTCAGACCTTATTTTCGCCTCTAAAATTAGGGTTTCAACCATTTTTGCCTTTTCCTCATTAGTAGTAACAGAATTCAGCATATCTTTGAGAAAATCGATGCTGAAAAGTCGAATGACTTTATCAAATTCATCAACTTTGTTGGAAGGAAAAAACGGAGATAATGGACAATTCTCATCACATCTTTTGTTTTGGTACGTACATGCTGCACATTTACCCCTTGCATCTGCATCATTCATCTTTGTCACAAATATTGAGAACTCCAAAATAATTACTTAACAGAGAGAAGTTTTCCTTGTAATTGTCTCTCTTAACACGAATTTAAAGAATATTGAGTTGACTAATCAGATTGTATAAGAAATAATTTGATTTGAATAATAATAAGTTAATAGACTTGACTGTTTTTATTTAAAAGTAAGTGATATATTTTAGCTTTTTAGAAAGAAATCCTTCATGCTGGTAAATATATTCACATTTGGTTGACTAGATATCACACCTCGAGCTACACCTTGGACATGGCTGGCACTCGAGAAACGTAACTGACCCTCAATTGAATTCTTGGTCTAACGGACTACTTAGTGGAATACTTATTCACACGGTAATGGGCTTAAAATATGATTTTTAACATTTATACTCAAAGTAAATACTTCACTCAAACTGTTTGTAAAATACTCAATGACATAAAAATAATAGTTTGCAAAAATATCTCAAGGAAAAGTAAATTATGAAAGACTTTTCAACTCTATCTATTAAACCTCAAATGTTTAAGATAGGTGTCAAGACAAGACCCATGATGCCTTAAAATTACCAAACTGGAAGTAATGTGTAGTCATCTAGAATACAAGAAGCTCACCAAAAGCTACCTGGAGTGTAGAGTGATTGTAACAACTAACAAAGCGCATGTTGATAATTATAAACACTCGTTTCAGCATCATAAAAAGATGAAGGTCAAATGACATCAATACATTTGAATGTACGAGAATGTAATATAGCTGAAGTTAAATAACTAATGTAATAAAACTATACTTAAGTTGAATGTAAAGAAATATAGGAGTTAAAACATTTTAAGTTTTACAAAATACTTTCTAATTTATGAACTCAACATAATAAGTGATATATAAAAATGCACATTAACTCTATTTGAAGATTCTCTAACTGAAATCATCACTCTGAGCTACGTGATGAAATAATTTCTTGTCCACATTGTTAGAAAAATCCTACATTACGTCGGGATATAGAACCTCAACTAAGTTGATATATAAGCTCTACCTGAAAACACTAAGGATTCATCTAAAAAATATGATCATGTAGCCATGTAGGCAAGACATGATTTATTGAGGCTATGAGTTTTCTGAACTCTTCCCTATGTCAGTTTTCAATACTATTTCCAATAATATATGCTCTTGCTTAAATGTATGAAAACATATTCTTTCTGGGATTTGATATTATAGCTCAAACTATCCTTTTAAAATAGGTAACTACTCTGAAATATCTCTTTAACATCACTGCTCATTTAGAAAACAAGGTCTTTGTTCAATGTAAAACTACATTTTAGATTGAGATAGTTACTCAAAAGGGGTCTCTTAAGAGGTAATTGATCTGTACTCAATCTTTCTGAAAACTATTTTAAGTTAAAATTAAAGTATTCTCTTTCTTCATGTAAAATGAAACCACTTAGTTCTTATACTCTTTCTCAAACTCATTTTTTCTTTCTTAAAACTCAGTTTCAAACACAAATGTTGGCTTTAAAAGATTTTCACAATTTGTAACTGAAAATCGGGTTTATATATATATATATATATATATATATATATATATATATATATAT